GAAATACAAGGCATCATGAGTACACAGAAGAGGAGTCAGCTAGGAAGAGGGAGCTTCGAGTGGGAAGCATGTTCCAGGCAAATGTAGTAAGGGCCACCTCTGAATAATAAGAAACAGCTGGTAAGAGGCTTCCAGTCTCTGATGACAGACTGGGCTAAAGGGGCCACACAGGTGTGGGGAGTAGTTACTCTCCACCCTGGCTGCAGCTTGAGGAAATTATGCCCAGGTCAACCCACTCCCCAACCACGTGCTTGAAAAGCTCCCCAGGTGAGCAAAGGTGAAGAGGCAGCTGATGTTGCAAGCACTGATTAGATCATGCAGAATTGTAAAAGCCAAGATAAAGAGCTGGAAATTTATCTTGAGAGCAATAGGGAGCCTCTGAGGGTTTTATAGAAGGAAGGGACACGATTAGACTCTTCTTTCTCCAGAAAGATTACTCTAGCTGCTGGGCGGAGAAAGGAATGTGGCAGAAAGACTGGGGTGGCCAAGGGACTGGTTAGGCTTCTGCAGTGACTCTGGTGAGAAATGCACTGAGCCATGTCAGTGGGGATGGCAGGACATGTGCAGATCTGTGGCCTGGTCCGTGATGAGCTGGCAAGGAGGACAGAAGTGGGAAGGCGAAGATCACCCCTTACACAGGCAGGTCAGAATCACTGAGTTTCCGGCTGGAGATGCAGACCTGGGAGCTAGCAGTAGAGAGAAGTTACGTACTCTCCCAGGAAGAGGGCAAAGAATGAGGAAAAAAGAAGGCCCAGAACAGAACCCCAGAGGAGCGAGGGGGGGAGCACCCCAGTGAGACCAAGAACTGTTCAGAGAAGGAAGGAAAAAAACACCCATGTGCGTTGTCAAGACTAGTAAGAATGTGACTCCTGAGAGATATTCACAGCTCACTGGTGACCTTGACAGTGTAGGTGAGGTCAGTATCTGGGTGGGGCTGAAGTGATGGTGAGAGTAAATACCATCAAACAGAGGCAACTGTTCTTTATCTTCTCCACAGATAGGCAAACGTGTTTGTTTATTCCTTCCTTGAATACTTTATTTATGCAGCACCGCCCCTGTGTTTGGAGTTGTAGACAAGTCCCGAGTTCCCCTTGCTAGGAGGAGACAGGTACTCTTGTCCACACCACACATCAATGTGATAGAAATATTTGAATGGACAAGCACATCAGGGGTTTTGGAACACAGTGGAGTCAACTCTTCTAGGGAAGAGGGAGGGGCAGGCAGGAATGGTCTTAGAAAGCAGAGAACAGGGGCTAGGTTTGCATTGATGTGGTCGTCACTGGGGCTGCCCATTGCAGAGTTTAGATCTCAGCCCAAAGTGGAAAAATGGCACTTCTGGGCCTCTTCGTGGTTTGATGGGGCCACATAGCCAGCCTTGGCCAATGAGTGGTCAGAGGCAGTGAGCAGGTCAGCTCTAGGCTAGAGTGTTCAGTGGCCAGCACAGAAGGCTACAAGGCCTCTTTTCCCTTAGGCAAGGCAAATAGCAATGTGTGGCTGCTCCCAGGTACCTGAGTGACCCCTCCTCAAGGGGGACACACACCTCTCCATATACCAGAAGCACAAGTCAGAAAAAAAACTTGTATTGTTTTAGTGTTAGTTGTTACTTTTGCTACTGCATAACCCCACTCAATGGTTCTCAAAGTGTGGAGCCTGGACCAGCAGCATCTGCTACACTCAGGAACTTGTGTGAAATGTAAATTCTCAGGCCCATCCCTGAAGTTACTAAAGCAGCAACGCTGGGGTGGGACTCAGCAAACTGAGTTTTAACAAACTCCAGGAGATTCTGAGGCATGCTGAAGTTTGGGAATCGCTGCCTTGCTGGTGCTGACTGATATGTTCATCTTTAAGGCAGAGTAAGAATCAGAAGGCGTGGAGAACGTCATCCTAGTCAAGTAAACTTTAAAAAACTGAGTAAGATACTAATTAAACGGTGAGGCTCATCGTGTCATTGGAAAGAATTTTTGAGAAAAAATACCACTATACCCACTTCTCACACACTGAGATTTCCTGACAAATAGCCTTGTAGGCAGTTTCCTACTGTGTCAAATCAGAAAACACCGTGGTGACAGAGGAGATATTCCTAATCAGGACCCAGGATAACCCCAGGAATGCATTTTCCATTTATCCCATGGCCTTGCTGATGTAGAAAATGCTCCTGAATGCCTCAACGCTAAAAGGTACATAAAACTAAATTCTGTCTGCTTCAGAGAGAGTCATTAGAGCAAGAGCTGAGGCTACTTGGTAATGGGTACTATTTCAATAAAGTAAAAAGTACAATTTCAAACTAATCACTTTTCAAACTGTCAAATAAAAGGAATCCATTTGTGCATGTGAAATTAATCCACGGGTTCTAACTATTAACTGAAAGCCCGTGAAAAATTTCAAAGACAAGAAAGGTTCTATTAAACAGCTGGCTGAATGTTTAAAGACAGACACCTAATGACTCCTTTGGCCCCTTCTGGATTCAAAAATATGTATTTTCACCAGCCCTACGTGAGTTCTATGGACAAATGTTTTAAGATAATATTAAATTCTAGTAACAAGATGCCGTTGTGCTCATTGGCATTACTTTAACCAAAATAACCCTCACACGTTTTACAGTGAGAACAACGGCATATTATGACTTTAACTTTTGCTCTTGGCTCATATTTGATGCTGAGGGCCCATGGCTAGCTCTCCAAGTGTCACATTTAATAATGATTACGATCTATTTGCTATTAATGAATGCATCCTTGTACAGTCCAGTCAATGAGAAGAAAATGCTGCAAATGTATGAAAGTGACTTCTCAGCCACCAGTGCTCACCACATATAGAAGGTGAACATCCATGTGTAGGTCTCTCTACAAATAAAAACAGAACCCTGGTCTTTTCCTTATTTCCTCCAGGGGTTTCCACTGTAATTAATTTGATGCTCATGCCTTCAGTATCTTTGTTGGTATTGAAAAGAAACTGCTGAAAATAATCAGTGAACCTTTTCCCTTCCTCGGCCCACTGGCACCTCTCACCTGTGTCCCTGTGCCAGGCCAACACAAGCAAAATGGTCCTTGCTTACCTGGTCCCAAGGGAACCATATGGGTGGTGACGTGCTTGAAGAATTGGAAAAGGTCGAGAAGGGGATGCTTCTCACCCTTGACCATGCGCACAAATTTCCTGGGGATCTCATGACAAAAAATGTACACTCAGTAGGTCTGGGGTGGAATCGCAGAGTCTGTAGGTCTCCCAGGCTTCCAGGCAATACCCACGCTGCTGTGGACCACACCATAGTTAAGGGATTATCACACGTTCTACACAAGGGGGACTTCCAGAACACTAGTTCATGGGCATTTATTGAGTGATATGGTTCCCTTTTGATTTAGGGTTCCTTGAAAGCAGAGACTGGCTCTTACACACATTTTTGTTGTTTTGTTCCCTGGCTGGCACCTGGCACAGGGCCTGCCCCCCGGTGGGTATGTATTTATTTAATAAAGCAGAGTTGGCCTTGTTCCAGAAAGGATTTTAAGTGGCCTTACCCTCTAGTAGGCCCTCAGTAGGTGCTGATGAATTGGTGAAGAACCAGGGAAGGAAGTCAGTCGCAGGGGTAATCACAGACGCTCTGGGCTGGGGTCCCCTCCGCTTGTCTGCACCTGTATTTTCCCTCTTGCCTCATTTTTAAAGCAGTTTACACTACAGAGCCGATCAGAAAGGAGGAGGAAAAACAAAACCAAACCAGAAAGCCCTGTGTCCCTGGCAAGAATTTTTGGAACATCAAAAAGGTCTACTGGGCGTTGGAGCCCCAGAACTCTCAGGTTTCTTTTTCCGCCTGGTTTTCAGCTTTTTGCAGGTCGATGTCACGCCCCGCCCCGCAACACAGGTTCCCCCGCCTGCTCCTGCCCCGAGAGCCCCGCAGGAGCCAGTCTCAGCGGGCACAGGCGCCCGTTGGCTTGGTGCAAGTCTGTTTGTTAGCTGTGCAGGAGCAATTAATCTTCTCGCCCATCTCCCGCCCCAGGGGCGTGTTGGGGGCCTCGGGTCGCCTCTGGGGGTCTTAGGGAGCCTGGACAGAACCCACCGCTTTGCAGAAACCCTTATTCCGAGAGTCCCCAGTGGTGCCATGTCCTGGTCAGCCTCAGAGTGTAAAGGAAGGGGGCTCATTTTGACTCCATAGGGAAAGAGGTAGAGAAAAAGGCAGAAGGAAGGAAATTACACTGGTCAGTAGTTGGGCCTCACGCGGCGAGGGAGGAGCGCACGGGGGAGTGCGCCCTAGGGGAGGAGTACACGTGCTGGGGCGGGGGGTGAGAGGCGGGCAGGAGGGGAGGAGAGAACAGCGGGACACAGGCTCCACAGCCCAGCAGACGCAGGCGCCCCGCAGCCGAGGAGCCTGAGAGAAAGTTCCCGCGGAGAGAGCGCCCCTGGGAGGGCAGACGTCGAGGCCGCTAGCCGAGAGTAGAGGATCGCAGGTCCCGCGCGTCCAGCCCACCTTTCCTCTGCGCGCACTCGGCCGCCGGATCTTGGCTAGGCAGGGAGCAGAGGGAGCGTCGCCGGGGGGCAGCCGGGGCGGCCGCGCCAAACTTGGAGGAGGATGCTGCGATTGGGCGCGGCGGCGCGGGACGCGGGGGTGCACTGAGTGTGGCCCCCAGGATCCCTCGGGCGCTGCCGCCAGGGCTGCGGCCGGGCGAGCGGGTAGAGGCGGAGCGGGCAGGTAGCAGCTCCAGCGCCAGGACTGCGCCGGCCCTGCAAGCCCGGACCGCCAGCGCCACCGTGCCGGCATCGCTTCCTACCACGGAGCCATGGTGCGCGCAGCGCGCACGCCGGGCGCGGGACTCTGAGCTCCGGCAGCGCCACGCGCACCTACTTCTCCTGTCCCCTCTGGGCTTTCCCGCGGATCTCGACCGCCGGTCATGAGGCTTTGGCCCGGAGCTCGTCGTCTCTGAGCCGCTCATCGCCCGCACCATTCGGCCATTGATAGAACTCCGGCCGCTGAAGCCTTCCATCCTCTCCCGGGGTCAGCACCCAGGCGGTCGGAGATGGCGCTCCGCGGGACCACCCGACAGCGCAAAGTTCGCAGGAGGCAAGAGATGCTGCCGCAGCAAGTTGGTTTTGTGTGCGCGGTGCTGGCCCTGGTGTGCTGTGCGTCTGGCCTCTTTGGCAGCTTGGGTAGGTGTGGGACTGCCCTCTCCCCTTGGGAAGTTGGGGGGCTTTGGGTGGGGAGTTTTGGAGGCAGCTCCGAGATGTCTCCCCCTCCTTCCTTGTCAGGTTGGTCCCAAGGGTTCTTCCACTCTCCTCCCCACCAGGCAGGTAGAACGCACCCAGGAGGGCTGATGGACGCTCTGAGCTGTGGTGCCCGGTTCCCTTGAGCTGCGCGCGGCCCCTGGGGGCTGGGGACGCGGCTGCAGGTGTGTGTTACTAAGACGAAAACCTTTACCGCCTGTGTCCCCAGAGTGCGCAGGGAAGAGGCAGCGCAGCAGCGTGGACTCTCTAGGTCTGGGGTGGGCAAAACTGGTCCGCTTTTCTATTCTTCCTATCGGCTGGGGTTGAGCAGTGCGTCCCTCAAAACCCCAGACTCGGAGGCTGGGAACTGCCTCCGTCTTGATCCAAAGGGTAGCCCTGGGTGTCTTGACACGTCCTCCTCAAACCCTAAAAGCGTTGGGACAGTCTGCCTCGCGGGAGATTGCTGCCACTGCCACGTTTCAGCACCACTTCTCTCGATTCCTTTTAATCCCCACGGAAGGAGAGGACTGGTGTGTAGAGCTGGAATGCGTAATTCCCTCATGCAAGAACAGGGTTTTGGAAATCGCTTAGGACATGCAAATTCCAGACGGAGTGGGGAAACAGGAGGAACTTACAGAAAGAATCTGGGGGGCGGGGGGGGGGGATGTGAGCCCATGTGTAACCTTAAGAAGACATCCGCTTTCCCCATATTCTCATTTTGAGTTGGATGCTGTGAACCTTTTAGTTCCTTTTTCTTTTTAACGTAAAAACAAAAGAAACGCTGGTGATTTAGCAACCAAGATATGGAGGTAAAGTAGGTGTTATTTTGAGCAGTTAGAACGGCCAAATGCATCTAGAGACAATTTAGAGAGGTTTATAGTGATAGGTAAAAATCGGGTGGAACTTGGTTAAAGTTTTAAAAAATGCTGGCTTTCAAGGCCTCAACTTTGTGATTTGAGGATAGAGGGTTAAAAAATAGCTCTTTCCAGTGAAACTCGGGAAGGTTATTAATACCTGGTGCTTTGCAATTGGGCAAGTCAGTGTTTTTTTTCCCCTCAATTACACACCAGAAAAAAACAAAATACCTAGAGGCCTTGGATGTCAGCATTATAGAAGAGGTATTATTTCCCAGCTGAAGCAGTGTGCACATCAGGAGAAGTAAAGGAATACTTCAAAGATCTTGAAATGAGAATCATTTTTATTTGCTGGATCAGGAATTCCCTTTGGGACTTCGTGAGTTTGGTTCTGGGCATCCAGTCATTCTTCCTTCTTGTTGTGTATGGCCCTTAGACCAGTAGAATCAGCATCACCTGGAGGCTTAGTACAGAATCCTGGGTACCAGTCCAGACATACTGAATCAGAACCTGCATTTTAACAAGATGCCCAGGTGATTTGTGTGCACATTCAAGTGTGAGAAGTCCTGGGCCAGACCCTGTCAGCATCTCTACCTGCTTGCTGACTTAGTAACCATTTGTAGTTTCTCCAGAGCAGGGGCTGCCTGAGTATATTTCCTGAAATAGAACTTCATGGTTACCTGTTTAAGCCCACTGTTGCATCTGTTAGAGGTTGAGATCAGTGTGGTCTCAGCCAAGGTCAGAGCACTTGCTGACCCAGCTGGGCCTTGAAACAATGAACTAGATCTGGAGAACAGACTAGTGTATGTAAGGTGATATCATACTTCTGATCATCACATCGTTCCCTAAAGGTGACTCTAAATAGTCAAATAGAGCTGTTGCTGACATAGCCATAATAGATACACATATGTAAGGATATTTCAGGACTACAGCCATCACATTATGGCTAATGGTATCTATGACTTAATTTCCAATCAAGGGCACAAAACAGCTGCTGCTAGCAAACGAGTCCTACCAGACACGTGGAGAAATAGAAAGTTGATGGCAACAGTGAATGGGACTCAGCCAACCAAGAACTGCACAGATCCTGGTAAGAAATAGATTCTCGTCCACCCTGTCTACCAAGGCACTGGGTCTGAACAGGAGACAGTGCTTGTGTGGGCATTTACAACCAAAGCTGGGGAAGGTGTTTCTGCACCTGAGTGGGAAAGAGTAGCTCTGTTAGGTGTTGAAAGGTAACATACAGGCAGTCATCAGTTGTGCTGCTAAGTAACACAAGTGCTTTCTTTATCCAACAACTAAAAAGGTCACATTCAAGAGTTTAAAAAAAATTTTTTTTTGTTCTCACAATACTCCTGAAGCCTGAGTATTTTCCCTCACTATCTTGATTTGGTTTATTTGCTCCGGTGTCTTTTTTGCTTTCCCTGTACTCACTGTGTCCATTTGCTGGAACTTTGGGGGCAGCAAATCCAGCTGCTCTGGCGGATGGCACTTCTGGATGACCCACCAGGGCTGGAGCCAGGGCAGCTGCTAGGGTGGGACACTCTGGGGTGCTGGTTTCTCTGGTTTTGGAGCTTCCAGGGTGTCATTTAGCCCCTGAGACTGCTTCTACTTGCCCTGGGAAGCAGTTTTAATATTCTTCTTCAGTCTTCTCCTGGGGTTCAGAGGCAGTAGGGACCCAGAGGCAGGCAGGTTTTGCTTAAACAAAGGAAGGAGATCGTCAGAGGAAGAGAGTGTACTGGCAAGCAGCAATGCTGGACACTGCCCAGGCCTCAGATGCAGCAGTTCTGGGCTTTAGCTCTGGCTCCAACTCTTGGGGTCTCTGTGAGGAGGATCCAGTGGGGTGAGGTATTTAACAGCCCCTAGGACACTAAAGTTTTATTATAGAAGTCTTTTCTACTGACTTGCTGAAAAAATCATATAGTCTTTTTGAATCTCTGTTTTCTCACTTGTAAAGTGGCCCGAATAGTACTGGTCTGCTTCAGGGTTGTTGGGAGAGTCTGGTTAGGCTCTTCCTGGGACTGTGTATAAAGGGAGGTAGTCTGAGTGTGTTTTACGGTCACCCTCTATGAGACAGGTTTCATACCCATTTTACAGGTCTGGAAAGATTTAGGGAGGAGACATACACCAAACTTGTAAGTGGTAAAGCTGGCTTTGGGACCTAGGCCTGTTGACTAAAATGTTTAGTTGGTTCTACATGTTTAAGAAAGTGAGGTCTTCCTTCAGGGGAAGTCGAGGAGAGAGTCTTTGTCAGACACCAGAGTCTTTGGAACCTTGATCTTGAACTTGCCCACCTTTAGAAGTACAAGAAATAAACCTCTACACCATCAGCTTCCCTTTGGTCAGATGCCTTCTGAGAAGTATGCTGGGACATGGGGAGGACAAGCACAGGCTTGCAGAGAAGTGCTGGGATTCCTTTTGAACCTAGGCCTTCACTCCTGACTGGCCCCCCTGTCATGGGGACCAGCAGGCAGTGGTGGCCGTCCTGTCATCCCCTTCCCCCAGCACATCTCCTCTCATCAGCCAGGCTAGTGGTTGTGCAGGTTGTACTGACGTGTGCCAAGGGACACTGACTCCATACCATCAATATGCATAAGGCCCGGGATGGCTAATGTTTGGGTCCATCTCAGGGACCTGAAATGGTAGAATTGATACCATTCACATAGGGACACTTTGCTACTCTGGATTAAGTCAGAATTAGAGAATTTTTGACTGGTTTCTGGGTATCTGATGCCCTCATCTTGGGCTGTCTGTACCCTCCAGTAAGTCCTGTCATATATAGTCTGAGCATGGGGGCTTCGATGGAGTTCTCCTGCGTCTCACTGTGATCTCAGTATCATCAGCATCTGATACTGCGTGATCAAAAATTATTTTTTAATTTTTATAAAGTGTCCGTAGTAATTGAAAGGAAGACCTTAAAGGGAAATTGACAGTATATTCAGCAGTAGTTAACATCACATTACACTTTGTGTTGACTGTTTCTGGAATAGAGCCTGGCACACAGAAAGGACTCAGTAAATGCTGGTCAAGTGGTGGAATGAAAGTGCGTTTTGATGTATTATGCATTTTAATCCTTACCGTGTTTTTGCCAAGATGAGAAACACAAAGCTTAGAAGTTCAGTGGCTTCGCAACATGTCTCCGCTGGCAGAGCATCCCTGGTCACTGGCTCCAGATGCCACACCTACCCACTGCACCGCGCTAGCCCCCTGCTCTCCTTAGGCCAGGTGGGGGCTGGGGCCTGCCTTCCCTGCCAGCTTCCTCTGCCTGGCCCAGGAGGGTCTCCACTCCCTGTCTATTTTGCAGGTCTGCAGCAAGCACCTCTTGTGTGCTCAGCCCTGTTGTGGATACTTAACAGGGAGTGGGGTGTATAAGTTAGTATGCAATGCATCCCTTGTTATCAAGTAGCTTGTAAGGGAGTAGAGAAGACAGGCTCTCAACCCAGGGAGAACTTGGTGACCATGAGGGACTGCCAGTGCTCCACTGAGCAGTCCCACAGGAGGTACTTTAGGTGCTCAGGGAGGGGTGAGCTGGCCTGATGTGGTTCTTTGTAGTCTCGGTGTCTAAATGAGCCAAGTGTCCCCAAACAGGGTTTAGCGAGAAAGGGAATTTAGTGGCTTAGTAACTAGAAGTGAGGGATCAAAGTAAGAGGTGTCTATGATTCTGTTTGTCTCTGTCTGGACTCAGTTGTGTTCTATTGTGGGAAGATGGTTACCGCGAGTCCAACCTCATGTCTTCCCAGACTCAGAAATGCTAGGGAAGAGCAAACCTGTGGCTGACCTGCTTCTGCAGAAGCTGGTAGTTCTATCAGGTTGAGCTGACCTAGGCCACAAGACCACTCTAGCCACCTGATCCGGCCATGGCAGTGGTGGGCCCCAGACTGGCTTAGCCCTCAGTCATAGGCTGTGCAGCTGGAGGGAGGGGACTGAAGCTGCCTCACCTCACACCAGGACCCCACCTGGGAGATGGAGAGGTTGGGCACCTAGGGAGCAGACATTCAGTTCCTTACATCTGTTCACTACAGGCTCCTATCCTGAGGCTGACACTGTGTAAGTGTGGGCCAGAGCTCCAAGTTAGGGCTTCAGGGGTGACAGATAGTATCATCCAATGGCCACCTTCTTTTTATACAGTTGGCACAGGTTCCCCATAAGAATTGCAGGGTCTTACAACTTCCTGAGGCTTCTGCTTTGCGTCCACCTCCACCAATTAGAGGGCCTCATATCCAGCTCTGCCAGTGGAGGTCTTTTAGGGATGTTGGAAGATGGAGCTTTAAGAGTTTCCTCCTGTGCCAAAACACCAGCCATGGTTGGTGTCCCGCCTTAACTCACAGGATCCTCCAGGGAGGGAGCTGCGTCTTATGTCCTGTACCTTCTAATGCTCCTCTTTACAAGTGTGAGGAGTAACTTCCTTTCCCTAAAAACATGAATGGGACTCTGAAGACTCTGGAAAACAATGAGCTCTTTGTTCTGCCTGGGTCCTTTCCCCAGATCTTGGTGGTGGTGTTGTGATCTCATTACTTGTGTTTCTGTGTAAATGCTCCCATCACAACCCCTTCTGTCTTGTTACCCCCTTATCACATTACCCTGTATTGTTTTTATGACTTCTATCACTGTCTAAAGTCACTTATTTCATTGTTCTCTGTCTGCGCTCAAGGCCTACCTGTTTTGTGGTTGGAAGAGGGATTCTTAATCCTGGCCGCATTGTCAAGGCACCTCAAGAACTTTATATATTTTTAAGTGCCTAGGGTGGCCTCCCCATTCTAGAGTATCTGATTTAGTTGGCTGGGAATCCATACCTTTTATGAGTTCTCTGGGTAATTTCAAGATGAAGTCAGAGTTGGTGCTCACTGAGCTGAAGACCTTACTCTGGGTGAGAGCATCACCTGGGGGCTTGCTAGGAATGCAGGGTCTTGGGCCCACCCCAGACCACCTGCCGCATCAGAATCAGGACCCTAACAAGATCCTCAGGTGACTCATGTGCACACCAAAGGCCAAGAGGCACTGGGCTCGAACACTGTTTTTTTAGTAGGTATTCAATAAATATTTGAATGTTGAACAAAAGCTATTCAAACAAATATTTGAATGTTGACACCAGTTTAACAGAGCAGTTTTCCTGAAAACTGGTTGCTTTTTTTTTTTTTAATGTAGAGAAGCTAAAATAAAATCTGCTTTATTTTTGACCACTGATGTCTATGGAAAATTTATAATTAATTTTTCCCCAGAGATTTGAAGGCATAAGCTGAACCTCCAGGCCTTAGAGGTTTATTTTCACAGGCTGTGCAGAGCAAACACTGAGAAAGTAAAGCGAGTCCCTCTTTGCAAAGTGGATGAATTTGGAAGGAGTGACAGTGACTTTGGGTCCCTTGGGAACTGTCTTAGCTTGGGCTGCTATAACAGAATACCATAGACAGTGACTTAAACAATAGACGTTTATTTCTAACAATTCTAAAGGTGGACAAGTTCAAGATCAAGGTGCCAATGGCTCTGGGGTCTCGTGAGGACTTTCTACTTGGCTTTCGTGTAGCCGCCTTCTCACTGTATGTGTACTTTGTGGAGAAAGAGAACAAGTTCTCTGGTCTCTCTTCCCCTTCTCATCAGGGTATTAATCCCACCACGGGGAACCCACTCTCATGACCTCATCTAATCCTAATTGCCTCCCAAAGTCTCCACCTGCAAATACCATCACACTGGGGGTTAGGGCTTCAAAGTATGAATTTTAGGATGGGGGTCTCAAATATTCAGTCTCTATAAGGAACCAATGAGTTTCCCTGCATCTTTTGGTGGTGGCACCTGGAGTGTCTAAAGGCAGCTGAAGACGGACCTGGTGCTTCTCAACCTGGGTCTGCAAGTGGGAGACACCAGGAGAACTCTGAAAAATGCAGATGCCAAGGCCCAGCCCTTGTCCGTGAAATCAGAACCCATGACGTATGTGTCCTGGCGCCGGCTTCTAGAGCTTTGGAAAATCATACACTTTTCATCCAGATCTTCTGTGGCAGATTCCTCCTCATCATTGTCACATCCACAAGCTTTCCTTGGTCACTGGGTCCATAGCAGCCTTCTGAGTCACTGGCTGTTCAGAACATTGTCTCAGAT